GCAGCAACACGAGGCAGGCGCAGCATGGAGCGGCCGACAGAGGCTGTGCATGGCCGACGCTCTGGGAGCGGGTTCTGCAGGTGCACTCCATCACACCCACACGCAAAGCTGGCCTCTGCAGCAGCCGAGGCCTCTGCTCCCCGAGTCACTCTGCTGTGCAGCCCCGAGGGCACACGGGCTCCCTGGTGTGCTCAGGTCAGCGGGAGGTTCTGGCACAGGCATGGACGTGCACGGGTGACGCTGCCACTCTCACGTCCCGAGACCAAATTCTGAATGCGCTCTCTTCAAGGAAGCGGTTCCCTCAGGTGAGCTGTCCAGGGCGGGCACAATGCTGTGGGTAAGGAAGGCTCAGGCCGCACCCACCAGGCACACAGCCCAGGCGCTCCGTGAGCCCGAGCCCTCGCTCACCATGGACGGTGCTCGTCCTGCCCCCTGCAGAGGCCGGGCTTCCAGACTAAGGCCCAGAGAGACAGGAGAGCCGCTGGCCTCCCCTCGGTTCTCGTGCCACCGACTGCCAGCTGGGTGCCACACATGGAGGAGAGGCTCCAGAGCCCCACGTGCCAGACCACACCCAGAGGAAGACCAGGACTTGCCAAGAGGACAGAGGGTGGGAAAGCTCCAGGTTCAAGCCCAGAGGCCTCCCTGAGCCAGGGCTGGCTGAGGCTGGGCGAGGGTCACAAGCACCAAGAGCCCGTGTGGGTGCCGTCTGTATACCTCTGTCTGTCTGTCTCTCTGTCAGGAAAAAATAAAAACATTTAAACTGAAACCAATCTGCTAAGCACCTCTGAGCCTGAGGATGGCTCGGGAGCCTGGTGCGTGTCTGCACCTGGAGAAGCAGCTCTGCACGAGTGCCCCGATCTGCCGTGGGGTGCAGAGAGCAGGGTAGGCTGGCCAGGTCTGCATGGCCGTGTGGCCACGCGCCCTCCATGACCGGAAATGGGTGGCCAAGGGTGAGTTAGCACGTCCTATGGCTCCTAGAGGGAGATTCAGTCACCATGCTGCTGCCAGAGTGCCTCGGGACCCCTCCTCTGCAGACAGCAGCCGGCAGAGGGCCCCAAGCAGCGCTGCCTGCAGTACACACGTGATCACGTCCTGCGCTGGGCTCTGAGGGAGTGGACAGGCCTGGGGCCGCTTCCAGCCACGTCCGAACCCTGGGTGTGAAGGGAGCCAGGCGATCAGCCACCTACATGAGCCCACGAAGGGGCGGCAGCACAGCAGGGCCCTGGTGACCCCCATGGCTTGGCCAGGTCGCCCCACTTCCAGACCATTCTCCTAGAGGCCAGGTGCACATGCTCTCCAGGGTCAGAGGCTCCACACTCAGACCTGGAGTTGAAGCTAAGCCATCGGGCTCCCAGCTCCAGCGTTCTCGGGACATCGTGTAGCAGCTGTGCTGTCGGGTCCGAGGCCTCATGTGCTTACTGGGTCCCACTGCACTGGGGGAACACCCTGTGGCTGCAGCTGCTGTGTTAACCTAACAGACCCCAAATACTCGATCTAGGCTTTTCCAGGCCTCAGTCTGCTCAAACGCTTGGAGTGTTACCAACTCACCGAGCAGGGATAAGCAGAGATGGCCCTTTCTTCTTTTTTTTTTGGAGAGGTTTTTGCTTCAGGGCACGTGCGCACACCAGACAGACAGAGAGAGACAGAGAGACGGAAAGCGAGAAATCACCCCCAGGGGGGATGGCCACGCCGCAATCCCTTCTCCTCCACTCTCCTCTCGGGACCTTGGGCACGCACGCACACGCGCCCGGTGTGAGTTTAAGCCACCGGGTCCGGGACGCGAACCGCGGTCAACTACGTGGGAGTCCAGCGACATAGCCATTACGCTAACTGCTAGTCCCGAGATGGGCCTTTCTACACCAACCCCAAGAGCAGTGCCAGATTCCAGAGGCCGACCGGAGCCTACGTCCTCACAGCCTCTCCTGTCTGCAAGGCGGCTGCGGGACCCACTGGGCCGAGCCACAGCTCCTGTGCGGGGGTGTCTATTCTCCCACCACTTGTCTCTGTAGACTGGGACTACCTCTTCTTGTCGACAGCCTCACACTGACCCCTCCACCCCACGAAATCTCAAACCCTCACAGACCGACGGCTGGCTGTGAGCATATGCTCCCTGGTCTGAGATGCCCTGAAGCAGGTGCAATTCTGCTGGAAGGGCAAGGGCGATGCTAAAAGAACAGCTCCAGGGGTCGACGGGTGCCATGGTGGTTAAGGGCACTGGACTCCCACGTGTCCCACCGTGGTTTGAGGCCCAGAACTGGCGGCTTGCTTTTTCACTTTCCCCCTCTCTCTCTCACAAACACTCTGTTCCTCTGTGGTCAAATTAAAATAAATAAATAAAGTTAGATACAATAATAATAACAACAACAACAAAGAGTAGGTCCATGCTGCAGGTGAGCGGGCTGACCCCAGCAGAGTGCGCATCTGCTCCCAGGGTGTGCACCTGGGGCAGGTGAGTGCGTGAAGGCACCCACCTGCGGGTCCGTCCGGCCCAACGACCACCTGTCAGCAGGCACAGGGAGCGAGCCAACGACAGAAGTAATGCACACAGAGAAAAGGTGACAGAAATCGCTCTGGTCACCAGCACGAGGGCTGGGAGAGAAGAAAGCAGTCTGGGGTAGCCGGCTGTCAGGTCTGCCTCTTGGCCTAACTGTGGCGTGTGACTGGGCCCGAGGGCCGGTCCTGAGCAGCCGGCGTCACTGCGGCCTGCAGCGGTGCTGGCTGGCCCA